CTCAGAGAACCCCCCCAACCACATCCTCTTCCTCACCAACCTCCCAGAGGAGACCAACGAGCTGATGCTCTCCATGCTCTTCAACCAGTGAGTGCTGGGAAAGCTGGGATCCAGGGAATGGGGGGAGTACCGGGAAAGCTGGGATACAAGGTGCGCTCTTCCCGCCGCAGGTTCCCGGGATTCAAGGAGGTGCGCCTGGTGCCCGGCCGCCACGACATCGCCTTCGTGGAGTTCGACACGGAGGTGCAGGCGGGGGCGGCCCGCGACGCCCTGCAGGGCTTCAAGATCACGCAGAGCAACGCCATGAAGATCTCCTTTGCCAAGAAGTGACGTGTTCCCATGTCCCCCCCGCTGTCCTCGTGTCCCCTCGGGTCCCCCTGTGTCCCCTTCCCTGTCCCCATCAAGGTAAGTCCCTCCTCCAGGCAGCCCCTCTGCCCAGCGCCTGCCGCCCTCGGGGGCTGAGCACGAATGTTCTTAACTCAATTTCATGGTTTTTTGCCCAATTTCCTTTTTTTAAATCCTGATTTCATGACTTTTTTTTTTAGCCTGATTTTGTGTTTTTTTTCCAGCTCAATTTCATGGGTTTTTTCGCCCTATTTTGTGAATTTTTTGCCCCATTTCTTTTTCAGCCTGATTTTTATTGAAGCTCAATTTCATGTTTTTTTTTTTTTTTTCCAACACCAATTTCACGGCATTTTCGAGCCTGATTTCATTATCATTATTTTAGCCCAATTTTGGGATATTTTTTTTTGCCCAATTTTGTGGATTTTTTTTCAGCCTGCTTTCATTGGTTTTTCAAAGAGGAGGAGGGTGGGGAGGAAGGATGCGCGGCTCAGCATTGTACCCAGGGTCTGCTGCTCAGACATTGCACCTGGAGCTCCAATAAAAACCTCTTGTTTTTCCCTGTTTGGATAAAATATTCCTTTATTTATTGGGCGGGGGGGTGCTTGGGGATGGAGCGAGAGGCTCCAGTGTGGAATGGGGCAGGATGGGGGGGGTCT